CTGGCCTCCTGTATGAGGCCGAAAGTTCATACTAGTATGTGTACTGCCCCAGTGATCGCGCGTTCGTCTTTTTATTTCTGAAGTCCTTTTTATCCGTTGTCACGCTGGTTTCTCACTCCCTGTTGAAAGTTCTACAATGTTGTAGGGGAGGGCGGGTGACTCGCCTATTAGCGGGATTTTGGCATTCCGGTCCATGAGTCAAACTGGTCATTGAACAACCAAACTGTCAGGCCGTGGGGTGCTGCCTCGGCCTCGACTCTCGTTAGGCATGGTTGCTATACTCTAGGACCGCATTCACGCGTCACAGCGTCTCCGCCCCACCTCTCCTCCCAGTTCCACCCTCTGAATTGGACCACGAGGCAACGGTGGATAGCTCCGTGCCTCGAAGAGGGCGGCTCTGTTGTTCGCTTGCGTCTATCGCCTGGCAGGCCGCCAACATAAACTGGGTGGTCTCGCAGACGGTGAGGTTTGGAGTCACCGATATGTCAGGTGCGATGCATCGTAAGACGCAAACCAAACTTCAAATAAGGACCCGATCACTCCTGTAGGATCCTTCGCCATCGACTCACCTGTGAGGTTCCATCGGACTACCTAATGAATATTCCTAGGAGAATTCCCTACGTCTGCAACGTCAGATGGTGTTCTGTAGGCACGAGTAAAGACGGACTACTTTCGCTTGCTTTTGCTTAGGTGAAGCACCGAACTAATGCAAATTCACTTGCCGAAGCCTGTAGCGCCCTAAAATTGCATTATCCAGATCCCACCATGAAACGGCCTAGGTCCTGATCATGTCTGGGATAATCAATGACAAGGGGCTTTGCATCCCATCATTGAGTGATCTACTGATCGGCTGGTTAGAAACAAGAAACCCCCAGGGTCACAAGACTCGGTACTACCAGAGATTATGGTACCGGTGGTTTCACGGGGGTCGAAAAAAGATTGCCGACTGCGTGCTAGCTAATCGGATCAAGATGGACCAGGGAATGCTGCCTCCACGTGACTAATCATTCCTGCTGGCAGCCAACTGGGACCCGTGGTTCAACTGGTATAATGCTCCACTCAATTGCTGGACGGCCAACCGGCTCGCGTCTAAACATCCATGCCTGAAGTTTCCTTAAAACTGGTTGATGACATCGAATGAACCAGATATAGCTGTCTCAGTCATGGACATTTTCCACCGTTCTTATCGTAAACATCACTCCTAAGTGAAACCAATGTGTCATCTATAGTGCCTGTGTTTGTAATGCGGACTCCCTCGGCGGATTGCCAATGGAAGAACTTGCTCGTAGTTCAGAAGAAACCTGCGGCTGGCAGCCTTAAATATGCCGTCTCTTCTGTCAGCCAACTTCCGGTTGGCCGATCTGATAGATCGCGAGCAGCAAAAGTGTCAAAATTCAAAGTGGTATAATGACATGACGACTGTTCTCCGCCATTACCTTCCCGCAAATTACCTCTCCGAAAACGAAAGGAAACCAAATGCTATCTGGTGTGGGTCTGAAAAACGATGATGTAAATTACTGCTGCTTTGCTTGTGGTGACCAGGCCGGATGTCAATCAGTAACGAGGGGCGGTTAGTGCTGCCCGTTGTAAATTACGCACCCGGAGAAGCAGGCATACAGTGCTGTGTGCAAAGTAGCGCTCTGTCATTGAAATTATCCGTTATCAGACTAAAATTAGAGCACTCAAGACTTCATTAAATGGAATTTACAACTTTTTACAACTGTGAGCATAGAGATTTCGGCAGACACGTTTTTTCGCCCGTGCTATGCTGTAGGACAGATACGGTGTTGACGTGACCGCATCTTTGCATCGTGCGCGTTTGCTCAACTCAAAATTGCCATCACAGTTAAAATTTATTGTCTGCGATCTCACATTAAACGTACGTTTCGGAGAACAAAGAAGGTTCTTAGAGTGTCCTTGTGTAGAAATGCTGAGATTCTGCTAGAGTATTTACAAACGGGCAAAAAACATCGGCGATTCGGCGACACAGCTCCCCCTCGTCAAATCAGACATTGATTTTCGACAAGACAATCGTGACCGGCTTGTCGGGGCGTTGAGAGGAAGCGTTCGTTGCGACTACCAGATGCCAATGTTTAAAGAGACAACGGCTGATGCAGTATTGGAATGAAGTGCCGCCCATTCTTGTAAAAGTGCCCGGAAATAGTCGGTTCGTGACTCATCCCGTTCTAACAAGCGTGAATGGTGAAAAACAGCTTAGATTACGCAGTGCCGTGAGCCCTACCGTCTATCCCTCAAACCAATCAGTATGTCAGCAAGGCATAACTAATTCACTTTTAGCAGAAACGTAGTCACTATGATCCGTCTGAGCTACCTAGGACTTGGCAGGTGGAAATGTAAGGGTTGAATATCAACCAGAACTACGGGAACGGTGGATAAGTCTTGGCTCACTTGACTTGACACAAGTTCCCTGTTTCGAGGCTTTACTTGGACAGATAATGTGCATAGCCAGGATAAAACAGCAGGGATGCTGGCGGAATACGCTCTCAAAGCTTGAAGTGATCCACGTTGTCTGTGTCACAAAAAGGCTCCGCTCCCTCTTACGTACTTGTTTTTAGGTCGAGTGGCGGATTAGTTTGAAGATCAGATTGAAAGCAGGTATCCCAGTCGCTCCGCTCGACGGTCATCTGGTGATCTAGAAAGAGCATTTTGCTGAACAAATTAATTTGCTCTACCTTCCCCAACGAATTTTCTGCGGCAGTCATTA